AAACCCCGCCCCTTCACCAAAATGGCCATGTATAACCTTTAGGAGGCTTATAGAGTGCTCCTGGGGGCTGGGGAGGGCAGAAATGAGAGAACAACAAGCCTTTTTTTTTTTTGCTAAATTTTGCCCCAGCCCCGAGGAGCACTCTGTAAGCCTCCTAAAAGCTATGCATGCCCTCTTTTTTTGACAAAAACTGGGCCTTTTCTTGAAAAATGGGCTATTTTGTTTGCTCATTTTTGTCCCCTCCACCCCACAGGAGCACTCTACAAGCCTCCTAAAGGCTATTCATGCCCCCTTTTTTGGAAAAAAAAACCAGGCCCATTTTAACGAAAAACAGACCGTTTTTGGGAGGTCTTCAGAGTGCAAAACCTTTTTTAAAAAATTTGCCTCTTCAAAATTTTGGTGCGTCTTATACTCCGGTGCGTCTTATATTCTGAAAAATATGGTATTTGCTTGTTTGAGGGTAGAAACTTCACCATACTTCTTGAGTTTGAAGGATAATTATTCACAACTTAGTAAAGGATTACTAAACTTCCTTGTTATATTTTAATTTTTATTCATTTTGTATCTTCATCATCTAGCTATTTTGATGGAGTCATACACATGTATCATTGTAGGTTTTGGATGCAGTTCTAAGTGATGAGATAAATTTAATATTGTGACCTGACAAATACGCGATGGACATATCCGTGCCGACAAAATAGCGCCGATTGAAACGTGACATCAAAATCGCGCCGACAAAAAAGTGACGATAAAATCGCGACAACAAAAACGTGATGATGACAACCACAAGAGAAGCTCAGCCTGGAGGCTCCTTGCCCAGGGAGAAGGTCTCATCTTGAAGACACCTGAAATGTTCCCTGTGCCACGCAAGCCCTCTTAGGCACAGGCAAGGGCTCTGCTGCCCCCCCCAGTTCTCTGCCCATCCTGCTTCGTCCCTGTCCCTTTCAATGCCCACTGAGTCCAGATACACAACCTGGAGCCCTTTTGGCCCTCTCCGGTGGTCAGTCCGGAGCAAAGGTCCAAAGAAAGTTTCTCCCCCTCTGCTTCCAAGCTCACAGCAGCCCCCATCCCCCCCCCATCCTCCAGGAGAGGCAGCCAAATCTTAATTCAAATGTTCACTGATCATGTAAAATGGGAGGAAAATCAATTCCATCACCTGTCTCTGCAAACCCAACTGGGGGCGTGGAAGGAGGCCTTTTGGACTTGGGGGTTCTCTGCCTCGCAACTTACTCTAGCAGGCGGGCAGCAGCAGGCGGGCAGGGCTGCCCTTGGCTCAGAGACCCCTGGAGAAGGAGCCAGAGAAGCTGCAAGCCCAGGGTTATAACGTACGTATACGCGTTCCACTATGTTAAAGGCACAGCACATTCACTCGTGATTTTATCGGCGCGCATTTGTCAGCATGCTATTGTCTAAAATCAATTAGCAATTTTGATGGCGCTCTTTTGTCCGTCACGGTTTTGTCGGTGCGCTTATGTCTATCGTGCATTTGTTGGTGAACCATTTAATATTGGCTTTAACCTTATACAATTTATTGACTTCATGAAAATATTTCAGAAACTTGAAGTTTGGTAACCGATTATGTGCTACCAAGTTGGGGTGGCTATATATATCCACCCTAATATTCCCTGACCACAGTGAGGCAACATAGCATGACTTGGTGGAGTATTAGTACTATTAACAAATAAAATATACCCTTGTTGTATTGATTTATTTGCATTTTTATTTCTTTGACATCGGCTCAAGGTGTTCTACACTGAGGTCAAGACTGATGAACCAATTAGGCAACAGTCTCATGATGTACCTCTCAGTTTGGATATGCTTGGCATGGTGAGTGGCAATACTTTTATATCTGATGTGCAAACATTCATATATTGTTTATTCTGTGGATTTTAGGCAGCGTCCCATAACCATGTTAATAAAGATATAAATCAATTTAAAAGGTACAGAATGTCGTTGTACTATCCTATCACTTTCCATCTCACTACAGTTCTTCTCACCAAAAATCTAGGAAATACAGATGGAAATACACTGTTTTTATTGCCTTCCTAAATATTAATAGAGTGAGGTCCATCCTAATGTTAGACCTAATAGAAATAGCAATAACACTTACTTATATACTGTTTCATGGTGCTTTGTAGCACTCTCTAAACTGTTTACAGAGTCAGCATATTGCCCCAACAAACTAGAACCTCATTTTACCATCTACAGAAGAATGGAAGGCTTGAGTCAACATTGAGCTAGTGAGAATCGAACTGCTGGCAGTCAGCAGAAGTAAACCGCAATACTGCATTCTAACCATTGAGCCACTACGGCTCCTATAAGAAGGCTACTACTGAGAAGGTCCTTTCCAAACCTCACCCTCCTAGCTCAGTTATGCATGTGAAGTGTTGAAGCTTCTTGTATATAATTAAGAGAACAATGTTATCAACACATGACCTCTCATGTGATGTGGTCCAGTATAAGAAAGAGAAGGAAACCGGGGATAAATTTATATATTAGGGCCACCAGGGCTGCAAAAATCCATATGATCATAGGACACTGCCTCGTGTATCTTTATTCCACATATTGATCAACTGGATTTTTGCAGCCCTGATTTGGTAGTCCAATCAGATATAGCATAATTCTTATGACTTCTCATTAAAAGCTAATATGAGCTAATATACCGCCATTTGAGCCGATTAGGGCTTTCGCGTACAGAGCGTATGGCCCCTGCGCAACGCTGCACCAAGCAGCTGGAATGTCGCGGGTGGTAAGTAAGCATGCGTGCGCTGCGCGTGTGCTGCATGTGTTTACGTGGTGGACGCCGCCCCCCCGTTGCAGTGTATTGGTTGCAACGGGATCCGGAACCCACCACTGATCCAGCTCTGTGGCTGATTTTACAAAGTTAAGCAAGGACACCAAACCTGATTACAATTTGGCGATTGTAAGAACATCTCAGCATTAGAAGAGAATTACAAATTGTTCTAGTGCTTTGGCTACTTTAGAGAGCCAAAGCACTAGCACTAGTTTGGTTAGTGGTTAAGGCACCAGGCTATAAAGAAGAAGACAGTGAGTGCTATGGACTTTTCTCAGATGCAGAAAGAAGGCAAAGGCAAACATTTCTAAAGAATCTTGCAAGAAAACTCCAGTCCAGGTAATTTCCAGAATCAATGAGGACTCAAAGGAACATTCCCCCCCCCACAAAAAAAGCTGCCTGAACTGAACTACAAGCTCCAGGTGACCACAAGATGATAGAAAAACGATTCAGACATAGTTTTGCCCAGGTTTTTATAGCTCATATCTGGTAGTCCTGCTCTACATATTGTTGCCAAGTGAATTATAAGACCTGGCCGTGATGTTATGATAAATTTAGTTACTTGGAGATTTTATCTAAATCACTTAGGAACTAAAATGTAGCAAAGTATTAAATCTCTGGTTTTCTTTAAATCTTTCTTATCTCATTGCCAGCAGATGCAAGGTGGAGTTGCTATTTTTTTTTCTCTTGGCAGTATACTTATATTACTACCGCCTAGGGAGAAATTCAGCAGGTGTAATATTTTCTATCACTGCCTTCCTTTCTATATTGGGAAAAGCCGCACCTGTTGCAATCCTAGGTACCATCCAGCTGTTAACCCAACCTCTCAGAACAAAAGGGGGGAATAACACAGCAGAAAATGTTTCTTCCATTTTGGATTTAAGAGATTGAAATTCAGGGTATATTGCTGCCTGCCTAAAAACACATGTGCCTGTTTTCATACTGACTGTAAGCATGATGTTTCAATTAAGGAGAAGTTTGGATACAGGAGGAGAAACATCCAACAGTGACATCTTTCATTCAGGGAGAGCTGTGACATGTGGAACCAATCTGAGCTCCTCCGTCTGCAAGATCTTATTTAAAGGGCAGGCATACCATTTATATACAAGAGAACAGCTCTGTGTATAAAAAAAAAAGCAGGCTCCAAATTTCCTTTTGCAGTGGAATAATTTGGGTTGATATTTTTTTTAAATCGCAAAAAAAAGACTAAAAGTGAATTTGCAGCTAGGCTTGGATTACGAGTTGCAATTCTCCATTTTCCCCCTTTTGGTCCTCTTTTGATCTGTTTTTTTTACTTTGTGTGGGTGCTCTGTTCTGTTCTCCTCAAACCAAAAGGAGAAAGTATTTGCTTTACTCTCATACTCAATGTGCTCCTGCTCAGATTTAGATTTGAAAGGGGAAAAAGAAAAAAAAGATTGAGAAAGATTGAAAAATACCATCTTTCTTTTCTTTAACGAAAAGGCGTTATAGGTAGTCCTCACTTAAGGATCAGTCACTTAATCGCCATTTGAAATTACAATGGATCTTACTTACAACCTGGTTTTGAAGTTACAATGGCCACACCTATCCATGGTCATGTGATTGCATTTTGGGTGATTGGCAACCATTTAGGGCTCTTTGCAGTGTCCTGCGGTCATGTCACTGCAATTTTCCATGGTTTTTTTTTTTTTTGCTAGTTTCCAGGTCATAAAATCAGATAGGGTCATGTGGCAATCTGCATAACAACCACCATGTCTTACAGCTATAGTTCCAACTATATTTATAGTCATAAGTCAAGGACTGTATTATTTGAATACAGTATTTGAATGCTGTATTTGAATACAGACTGCTGTATTTCAAATTATTGTATAGTTCTGTATTTCAGATGTAAATCCTTCCTCAGTGGTTCCAAAATCTCATACATGGAATACACATGGAAACAGGATCAATTGGAAGATCTATTGTGAAACTCTTTTAAAAATCAATATAAAATCCAATGCCAGTGCTAATAGCAAAATGCAGTTGTACAAATAAAGCAGTAACAAACTGCTTGCACTCCAGATACCAATAAAATCAAATGACTTCAAACAAATATTGAATAAAACAATCTTTCCTAAATATCAGGTATATGCCCCATTTTATATGTCAGGTGAGATGATGTTTCTTTTATTTTTAATGTAATTTCAAAACATCTGAGATTTTGATTGAAGAGGAAGAATTTGGAGCAAAGTATTGTACATGTGGTTGTATTAAAATGACACGTTAATGAGTCCTTTTAAGTTGGCAGTTGTATGGGTACATCAAAAAAGGTTGCTATATAGAATGTGAAATTTTAATAGGATGGAATTAAATGTAAATTTTGTTATGTTATAAACTGAAGAAAAGTTTATTTTTATATATTGTTAGTATCTTGACAGAGAAATCATGTTGAGTGCCTGCTAATAAATTAATCAGTTATGATTAGGTAAACAGGAAAAAATTGAATCTTATCACTAAACTGTCTCATTTTCACATAATTTTTATGCATGGATTTTATAGGGGGCTTAAAATAGCATAAGTGAGCATGTGTGTTTTCTTTTGAAAATATATATTTTTGACTAAAGAAAATTAATGGTGTACATTCTAGTGTAAAATCTATTTGATGTTTAATCTACCTAATATATTTTGATTTCATTCATTTGAGTGTGTCATAAAGGGAATGTTGGCCCTAAAATGGCTTATATTTTGAATAAACAAAGTAACTCTTACTTTATTATTAAATCAGCATGTTTTTAATCATCCTGTTTCTTAAGATTTTTTTTTTCCCTGCTAGGGTCAGATGGCTGGGCAAGCAATTTTTGTAAGTACTACTGCTCGTGTATGTATTTAAATGTAAACAATATTTGCTTGTTTAAATGTAAATTCATTGTGAGAATTTGCCAATTACAAATTTTTGCATGGGTAACAAGGAATGGATTTGTTTGATTTTAGTTGCAAAGCTAGATGATTATGATACAGAACTGAAAAGTATCTTAACTCAAGACAAAAATCCCAACAAAATAAAAAAAAAGTTTCTGTGGAATACTGATTGAGAGAGCACAGAAATATGACTTAAACATTCATGTTCAGTATTTTCATTCAAAGTGAAATTTGTATGACACATATAATCTGTATGAAAATATTAGAGATAAAGTCAACAGCTGATGACCAAACTGTACTGAATTTGTTGTTCGTTGCAGATATTTTCAATTTTTTATTGCTATGTTTAGTTTCAGTTGTGACACATCCAGTCATAGACAGTGCAGTTAAGGAGTTGTAATCATCCCAGTTTTTAATTTTTTTTTTACAAAACAGGTTATCAAATCATACACTGTTAGATTCCAACATACCATTTTTAACAGATCTGGAAAAAAGTGTACATGTTATCATTGGAGGCTTCAGATTCAACATCTGGTACCTCTAAACATTTTCTATTTTTTTTTGTTCATGCCCTTTTGGTTGAAAGGTTAGAAAAGATATTTACCCAAAACTGCAAAATAAATGGTCAGTTGGAAGAGATCATTTATAGAACATAAGCAGTGGAAGTGATGTGCCAGTCCCTGGAGGCTGTCAGGGTCTGGATGGGAGCGAACAAGCTTGCACTCAATCCAGACAAGACCG